AATAAAAATAAAAAATAAAAATAAAAAAAAAATAAAGAAGCCAGACATGAAATAGACATGTTTATAATTGCACGTATATGAAATTCAAGAATCGGCAAACTGTCCCACCAGTGCAGCTCACTGGTTGAGCATCGACCCATGAACCAAGATGTCGCAGGTTTGATGTCGCAGGACACATGCCCAGGTTGTGAGCTCGATTCCCAGTAGGCGGTGTTCAGGAGGCAGCCAATCGATTATGTTTCTCTCTCATCAGTGTTTCTATCTCTCTATTCCACTCCCTTCTTCTCTTTCTAAAAATCAATAAAAACATATTTAAAAAATAAGTATATTAATAGTGGTGGTACCTCTAGTGGGGGTTGAATATTGAAAAGCACAGGAAACATGTAAATGATTGTTAAATAAATATACACAAATTTTCAAATTCCCTGTGCTGTATGAAAATGATTTGTGCAGAGAATCCAAGATGGCTGCACAGGTAAACACCTAGCCACACAGCCGCACACAACAATTTCAATAAAATACAACTAAAATATAAAATTGACATTACCCAGAACTACAGGAAAGTCGACTGACTGGTAATTCTACAATGAGAAGCAAGGAGAAAACCAGAAGGAAGCGTGGAGGAGCTGGAAAAGCCTAAGGTACAGAGACACGCGGCGCCCGCGGACAGGACGGAGCCAGAGAGGAGGGGAGGCTGAGTGCCTGGCTGGCGTTCCCTAGCGGGAAGGAGATAAAAGCTCCGGCTGTCCTGGGCCCCAGTTCCAACTGCACTGAACCCCAGTTCTAGGCCAGACCCCGGGGGCCCAGGCTCACACAGAGGGAGCTGGGCTGTAAGGTGGAACTCCGGGGGAGTGGCGCACAGTGAAGGGATGGTTGGCTGTGCTGCGGGATTGCCCTGGCGGGAAGGAGACAAAAGCTCCAGACTGCTCTGAATGCCACTTCCAACTGAACTGAACCCCAGTTCCAGGCCCATTGTGGGAGAGCCTAGACTGTTTGGCAGCAGGCGAAAATCGAGGGCGCCTTTCTCTCAGAGGTGCTTACAGCGAGCACTGAAGGACCCTGAGACTCAGGAGCCACATAGGGCAGGGCTGACGGAAGCCAAGGCTGTAGGCTCCACCCTGAAACTCCGCCCCATCAAGGAAGTTGCGAAAATGCGACAACAAAATACAAAATACAAACGAAAGAAATGGAGAACAAAAAGTGACTGGATATAGAATTCAAATCTACGCTTATAAGGTTTTTCAAGAATTTCCTAGACCTATGAGGATATGAAAAGGGATCAACTAGAATTAATAAGGAATTATCAAGAAATGATAAGGGATCAACAAGAAATAAAGAATACATTATCTGAAATAAAAAATATTATACAGAGTCCTAAAAACAGAAGGGAAGATCACAAGAATCAAGTCAAAGATTTGGAACATAAAGAGCCAGAAGACACTCCTTCGCAGAAGCAAGAAGACAAGAGAATCCAGAAAATTGAAGATAATGTAAGAAACCTCTGGGACAACTTCAAGCGAACCAAAATCAGAATTTTGAGGGTCCCAGAAGATGAGAGAGAGCAAGATATTGAAAACATACTGAAAGAAATAGTGACAGAAAACTTCCCCCACCTGAAAGAATTAGACTTACAAGTCCAGGAAGTGCACAGAACTCCAAACAAAAGGAATCCAAAGAGGACCACACCAAGACAAATCATAATTAAAATTCCAAGTGCAAAAGACAAAGAGAGAATATTAAAAGCAGCAAGAGCAAAGCAGGTAGTTACCTATAAAGGAGCATCTATATAATTACCATGCAGGCCAGACGGGAATGGCAAGAAATATTCAAGGTGTTGAATAGTAAGAACCTACAGCCAAAGATAATCTACCCAGCAAAGCTATCACTCAGAATCGAAGGCCAGATAAAGAGCTTCCCTAATAAAAAAAAAGCTAAGGAGTTCATCACCACCAAACCAGAATTATATGAATTGCTGAAGGGGGTTCTTTCAGAAGAGAAAGTAAATAAAGATAAAAATTATGAACAACAAATACGTAACTATCAACAAGTGAATCTAAAAACCAAGGAAATTAAAAAAAAAATCTGATGAACAATATTAATTGTTGAATATAATAGAATCAGAGGTATGGAAGGGGAGTGAACCGACGATTCTTGGGGAAAAGGGGAGAGGGGTGTGTGGGAAGAGACTGAACATAGACTGTGCATCTATGGATGAGGACAATGGGGGGTGGGGAAAGGGCAGAGGGTGGAGGGTCTCTCATCTTCTGGGACCCCCAAAGGGAACCTGGTGGAGGAGAGCAATGGGGCGGGGGGGATGAACATTTGTAATAATATGAACAATAAAAATTTATTTTAAAAAAAAGAAAATGATTTGTGCATTTTACTGTATGTAAATTATCTCAACAAAACACTGTATTTAAACAAAAAAATAGCCTAGATTCTAGATAAATGCTATGCAATAAAGTTAGTCCACAGTGTATTTAGGATCTATGATAAGGAGCTTGCACCACAATGCATTTCCTTGCTATGAAAACAGTGTTAACTGTACTAAATAGTGGGTTGAAATAAGCTGTATTAGTAGTGACACCATTTGACTTACATTCCCCTGAAAGCTCCTTACCTCCACCTGAGCTGGAAGGAGCTCTGCTGTAGAGACAAGCCAATTGTGGTGGTGGCTGAAGGGGAGAGGGAGCGAATGGAAGGCCACAGAGATGACAGACATGAGGGTCAGGAAAGGCCTTTGGTGAGAAGCAATAGAGAAACCAAGGAAAATGAGAACATTTTAAAATAATGATATTCATTTAGACTACTTTATGGGAGAAAAGGAGAAAGAAAAAAAAAACAAACAGAGAAAGTGAAACGATTTAAATAAAATAATAAGATGGCAGAATGAAGTCCCAGTATATCAATAAATGCAACATAAAGGGACGAAACTCACAGGTTAAAAGAAAAAGCCTACATTTAAAAAATAATAATAACCTATTTTCTATGTGTCAAAAAATTTTACAAGGCTAAAAAATATGTAAATAAAACTGGTGAAATATACTATTATCGGAAAAAAGAGGCCTTAAGACAAAAAGCACAATGAGTAACTATAATAAAGATGGTGAACTAAGAAATGTCAGGTACTAAGTGGCTTATTGCTGCCATCTGCTGGACACAATGTTCATTTCTATTTCAATCAGTCACTTTAGAAAGTCGTAGTAATAAGAAAGCACATAAGGCCCTAACTGGTTTGGCTCAGTGGATAGAGCATTGGCCTGCAGATTGAAAGGTTCCAGGTTCGATTCAGGTCAAGGGCTTGGTTGTGAGCACATTCCCAGTAGGAGGTGTGTAGGAGGCAGCTGATCGATATTTCTAACTCTATTCCTCTCTGTAAAAAATCAAAAAAATATATTTTTAAAAACCCACAAAACAAAAACATTCAAAGAAAGAAAAAAAAAAAAAAAAGCAATTAAGGCCCTAAGTCATACTCTTTTCTTAATTTCCTTCATCTAATAGCATAGAAACAGTCTCTCTGAATTAAAACTGTATCCTCTCTCTGTTTGTGAAACTTAAGCCTTTGGTAACGATGCTTATTTTTTCCAAGTTACAGGTTTATCTATATAATAAAAACGCAGTGGTCATAATGCCATAACGACCAAAGACCAGTCACCAAGAGGTTGCATGTGCAACAAGGCGTGCGTGGCTGGGTGGGTTTCATGTGCAGCAAAGCGCACACAGGTGGACAGGACTTAACTCTGGGTCCCACAGCGCCAGCAGGACTCGGGGGTCCCTGGTCTCGCGTGATTTCCCATGCTGGGTCATTAGTATGAGTATAAAGAATTACATTGCCTGACCCTGGATGGCAAGGTACAGTAGTCGGCCTGCACATCACACATACCTGGGTTGATCAATCATTGTCTGTCTGTCTGTCTCTTCTTGACCCTCTCTCTCTCTTACCTCCCCTCCTCCTTCCACTCTCTCTGAAAATCAATGGGAAAAAGTATATGCCCTCTAGTGAGGATTAACAACAAAATTACATTGCCTGGAATTTAGTAAATGCATAAAGACTACCAATTTCCTATATACCTACTGGAAAACCATATATTTACTACTATTTATTAAGTATAATGAGTCCCTTTAAATATACCAACTACACTTTACTCATAGAGCATATCATACACATTACTTGCAATGTTTCTTAAAATTTGCATGTCTAGATGAATAGCAGGTCTTCTAGTACTCATCCATATCTGGCTTCATTGCTTTTCAGACAACAGGAAAATTTCTTAGTTCATAACACTAGTTTGGCTCAATAGTTTTATGTGCAAGTTCTATGTGCCATCTGCAGGCCAAAATAAGTAATTGCACATGTTAGACCCATAGGCATTCTTCCTCTATCACAATGACAAGACAGAACCTCTAAAGGAAACGGTAAAGCCCCAAGGTTAAGACAGCTTAGAACACGCACGACAGCTACCCGAGAGTTGTTCATATCTACAACTGATTTTGTAAGAATAAAAAATAATTTTTTATTGAATTAAGCCCTGAGAGTTGGCTCTTAATGTTACCTGATGGTTTCTCAACAGAAGCACTACTGACATCGTGGGTAGGATACATCTTTGCTGTGGGTGCTTTTCTGTGCGTTAGGAGCATTCACCAAAGAATGGCAACATTAAGCAGCATTCCCGGTGTCTACACTCAATTTTTTGATCAGATCTCAACATTGCCCCCACCACCACCACCACTTTGAGAAGCATTAGCCTATCTTGATGTCTCTATGTATATGTGTATTACAAAGATGTGTATGAAAGTATATTTAATTCACATGTCACATGACACAAATATATGCTTTACAGTATATAAAGATCAGATATTTAACAGGCCCTTAACATATATAAATTTCCATTCTCCAACTTGGAGAGTTAATTCAGTACCTAAAAAATAACCTAGTCAGTATCACGAGTCTCTCTGCAGTAAGATAAACCATTCCAAAAGTGTATAGAAACCATACGTACTATGCTATTCATTTCGGAGGACTCATAGCTCCCAACTGGGTGGACATTTCCAATGGGCTCCAAGCCCTCTTCATCCCACATGTATGTTCCATCAGAGCTATCAGATGGAGAGAGTTCAAATGAAGAACCAGCTCTGAAATCAGTATCTGGTGAAACCAAGTTACTCCCAGAAGTAGGTTTTGTACCTTCACTCCTGTCTTCAATTGATTTTTTTTAAAAGAGAGAGAAAACAGTTATTAATTCACAAAAATATAATTATTTTTCAGGTTCCAAAAATATAACTTATTTTTATAAATATTATAAGATAAAAATGTGATATATTATAGCAAAAATCATTAATAAATATAGCATTTTCTAACTTCTAAACAATAAATAAATTCAGAAGTAAAATCTCAAAAATAACCTATTGAAATGTTTACCAATATAAATAAAATTCACTGAGCCATCTTTCACTTCTGCAACATTTCTAGAAATGAAAGTAAAGCCTAATATTCCTTTAATAACTCCTAATATATTTACATTTAAACGCTGGCTGGGAAACTCCTTCCCCCGTGTATATCATTTAAGTTCACAGTTGCCTCCTTATCAATAGGAAACAAGTTCTGCAGGCAGTCACTCCTAACAGAAGATTCTCAGGCAGTCACGGGTTCTGTACATCTCTAAGTATGGCCTAGTGCCTTGACCAGGCCACATGCCTTACCCTTCAGTTTGTTCTATTTTCAGATTATATGGGCACACAGATAAATTTTCTGTGGCTTTTAGTGCTAAGATAACCAAAAATAAATGTTTAACATGTGCCATCTCAGTTTCCTCAATTAAAAAAAATAAAGGTTTTCTGAAAGTATAAACTATAGTTCTGGCTGGTTTGGCTTAGAAGATAGAGCATCAGCCTATGAAGTGAAGAGTCCCGGGTTTGATTACGGTCAAGGGCACTTGCCAGAGTTGTAGGCTCGATACCCAGTAGGGAGTCGTGCAGGAGGCAGCCAATCAATGATTTCCTCTAATTGTTGATATTTTTCTCTCTCTCTCCTCCCTTCCTCTCTGAAACCAATAAATACATATATTTTTTTAAAAACATTAACTATAAAAAGCTTGCTATAACAAGAAATCTAAGTCTTCCATTAAAAAAATTAAAATTTCCTAGGATAAGAAAATTCTTTAGATTAGACATAACTGCTCATTTACCTTTTTTTTCACTCTTTTTTTTTTTTTAATATATTTTGATTTTTTACAGAGAGGAAGGGAGAGAGATAGAGAGCTAGAAACGTCGATGGAGAGAGAAACATCGACGAGTTGCCTCTTGCACACCCCCTACCGGGGATGTGCCCGCAACCAAGATAAATGCCCTTGACCAGAATCGAACCCGGGACCTTTCAGTCAGCAGACCGACGCTCTACCACTGAGCCAAACCGGTTTCGGCAGTATAACTTTACTCTTAACAAATAGCAATGATCTACTACCCCTAAGAAAAGAGATGGTTTAAAATGGCATGCCACCTGTTGGAAGAAGTGGGGGCAGGGAGCTTTTTGAAGTAGGTAGGAATAAGCCTGTGTGGGACAGCCAAAACAGAAAAAGGTAAGAAACTTTAGGATAATGTTTTCATTGATGTTATACATAAAATGAAAAATAGGATGGGGAACAAAAGTCACAAGAAAGGAAAATGTTTCTATTTTATCTAGATCCATCCTCCATGAAATTGATAGTTTCATGGAATTAATCAGAAGATAATCCTAAATATAACTTCAGTTATATAATCTAGGAGAAAGCAAATAAACTTAAGGATATTAATATTTACCAGAGACACTTTTATTCATCCACTCATCAGCTTTACTGAAGGATTTTTCATTTTCCTTGGGGGAACCAAATATATCCATTGGTGGTGTATTTTTATGCTTTTCTTCTTTGTGAGAATTTTCCTCTGGAGTTACTGTAGCTCTGTTGGAGTCTTCTAAGTCTATAAAATCATCACTAAAGTCTTCGCTTAAATCATTCTTATCAGAAGATGACAAAGAAGATAAGGAAATGTCATCCACATCATCATTCAGATATCTAATTTTAGCATCATGCTTCATGGTCTGGCCATTTTCTGTTCTATCACTATTATTTTCAGTTAGTCCTGGGTCCTTGTTGGTAGCTCTGTCCTTAGCCAAAAGTTCAGTATCTTCCCCTACACATGTGCCAGCAGGTGAATTTTTATTACCATCAACTGTGATAGTCCCAGAAAATGGAGATTTGCTAGATTTCAGTAGAGAGGGATGGACCATCCTATATCCCAAAGTGGAAGCTACACCTGGGCCATTTGATAACGCCAACTTCTTTCCACCAGCAGCATAAGGCCTATTAAATCCATACCCTAAATGTTCATGCCCATTGAGAAGTTCAGACTGCTGGGAATTTCTTGTTAGCATACTTGATCTCAGAGGTATTCTAATGGGTAGATGTTGATTCTGATAAGGCTTAAGATCTGCAGCTCTATTGAAGGAATGTGATCTGGTTATAGATGAAGGTGGAAAGAATGAATTCTGAATGGAATGTGAAAAACTCTGTGATCTTACCATTTTTTCACAAGTAAGAGATTTAATATTATCTAGGGATTGTGCTAAGCTTTCTCCAGAACTGCTTCTGGTAGCACAGGAGTTTGCTCTAGGCCTCTGTATGCTACTAGCTGATCGATTCACATAAAACCCACTCAACTGTGATGTTGGAGCACTGACTAGAGAATATGAAGTCCTTCCTAATATTGTGCCTTTGGTGAATTTACCCAAACTGGATGGTCCAGATAAAGACTTTTGTTTTAATTCCTCTGTAGATGACCCAAACATGGTAGATGGCTTTGCTAAGTTTGATGGAAAAGAAACACCTTTCAAATCTCCCTTTATCCCATTTTTAGCAAATATTCCTTGAGCAGGTGGATGTTTTGCAGGATCAATTACTTTATCATGTGAACTTTGAGTATCATTAGCTTCCTCAGCACTTGGTGTACTAAGCTGGTATTTAGCTGCTGTTCTCCAATTAAATGAATGGGATAATTGACAATCAGAGCCATTATTTTTTATGTAACTTTTGATGCTGCTTGTTTTGGAAGTTCCCAATAAATTAACAGGTGTCCCAGTTGGCATTGGCTGCAGTGTACTTCTTACAGATTTTGTTCCATACTTTGGCAACTTGGAACCCAAATATGTCTTGATTTGTGTTTTTTCTTCCATGAGCTATAAAGTACATTTGTTCTTAAAATTTGACAGAATCTGAGGAGAGAATAAAAATAGATTAAACATTCCTAAATAAAGATAATTACATTGATTGTTACATAATATGAATACATCCTATCTAATAAAAGAGTAATATGCAAATTAACCATAACTCTGCTTCACCAATAAGACATGCCCAAATGCTAATCAGGCATGAGTATGCAAATTAATCCAACCAAGATGGATTCGGCCACAGAGAGATCAGGAGGAAGGCTCGGGTTTCCCCTGTGATGGAGGACACCAAGCTTTCCGCACACCCTGGCTGGCCCAAGTCTCTGCTTAAGGATACAAAGTTTCAATTATAGAAGTTAAATAAATCCCAACAGAAATGGCTGCCACCACAGAGCAAGCAGAAGGCTTGGCTCCGCTCCAGGCTACAAAGTTTCAATTGCAGAAGATAAATAAATCCTAGATACCAGAGACTCCACTTGGGTCCCCAGGGGGGCATGGCAGGCCTGCAAACCACCACAGGCCCCTCACCCAGGCCAGGCCACATCCCAAGGGAATCCCCACCCACCCTGATCCCGGACACACTTTCAGGGCAAACCAGTTGGCCCCCACCCATGCTCCAAGCCTCTATTTATCTAATGAAAGAGTAATGTGCAGATTGATCATCACTCCAATACACATGATGGCTGCCCCCATGTGGACACAAGATGGCCACCACATAAGTTGGTGGAACCAGACCTGCAAAGGAGGGCAGTAGTTGGTGATCAGTCCAGAAGAGGAGGGAAGTTGGGACAAACAGGCTGTCGGGGGAACAGTTAGACATCAATCAGGCTGACAGGGAAGTGGTTAGAGGGTGATCAGGCTGGCAGGCAGAAGTGGTTAGGGGCAATCAGGAAGGCAGGCAGGCAAGCAGTTGGGAGCCAGCAGTCCTGGATTGTGAGAAGGATGTCCGACTCGCCATTTAGGCCCGGTCCTGGTGGGATCAGGCCTAAACAGGCAGTCCCTCGAGGGGTCCCAGATTGAAGAGGGTGCAGGATGGGCCAAGGGACATCCCCAACACACCATACATGAATTTCATGCACCGGACATCTAGAATTCTTATATAATTAAATGTGGCAAAGCCCAAAAGCTACTCATGATTCTTATAAGACTCTTAATGAACACTTTTATAAACCTAGACTATGGATGATAGCAAAATCAATAATAAAATTAGAATACCAAAGACTATTAAAAACAGCAACAAAAAACATACTTCTATAGCATATCTTAATTTTTACCCAAAATATTTTTTTCACTTTGGGTACTATCTCCTTTAAAAATACTAACGTGATTTTTTTTTTTTTATATAAGCATACATTATCTTATAGGAACTATAATAAGTTTTTTTAAACTTTCATTATTCAAGTCATTAGAAGGATGTAAGAAAAGAATACAATAGCCCCAAAAATCTGATAGCATTAAAGGCTGAGATATCAGCTGTCATTTAAAAAATATATATTTTATTGATTTTTTACAGAGAGAAAGGAATAGGGATAGAGAGTTTGAAACATCAATGAGAGAGAAACATCGATCAGCTGCCTCCTGCACACCCCCTACTGGGGATGTGCCCACAACCAAGGTGCATGCTCTTGACTAGAATAGAACCTGGGACCTTTCAATCTACAGGCATCTGACACTCTATCCACTGAGCGGAACCTGTTAAGGCTCAGCTGTCATTTTAGGCAACAATCTCAAAATAATTTTTATCCATAATATAAATAGACACTCTGTTTAGTGCCAGTGTTAAGAAGTATAATGATTTAATAAAGTTGATTAGTCCATTAATCTGAACCTCTCTATTTTAAAGGTAATACAATAAACACAAAAAGGTTAAATGCACACACAAAGACATAAAACTAGAAACAACAATGTCTTCTACTTCAGTAACTGTTTATGATATTTATGACATGACATATGATGAGGTTAAAAAGATAAGATAAAAAATATTAAAATGGGTTGGAGGATCCAGGATGGCAGCTCAGGTAGACACCTAACCGCAGCAGCACACAACAATTTCAATGGAATACAACTAAAATGTAGAGTGGACATTGCCCAGAGCTACAGGTAGTCGACTGACTGAAAATTCTACAACAAGAAGGAAAAAGAAAACCAGACAGAAAATCAGAGGAGCTGAAAAATCCTAAGGTACAGAGACATGCTGCGCGCACGCACGCACACGAGCAGAGAGGACGCAGCCGGAGAGGAGAGAAGGCTGGGTGCCTGCCTGGCGTTCCCTAGCAGGAAGGAAATAAAAACCCCGGCCTGGGCTGAACCCCAGAACCGGCAGCGCTGAGCTCCAGTTCTGGGCCAGAGCCTGGGGACCCAGGCTCGGGCAGGGGGAGACGGGGCTGTGAGGCGGAATCCCAGGGGAGCGGCGAAAAGCAGAGCCCCCGGAGTCGCACACATTGCGCGCAGAGGATGGAATGTTGACTCTGATGCTGGATTGCCCTGGCGGGAAGAAACAAAACCTCCGGCGGTGCTGAGCCCACTCCTGACTGCTCTGAACTCCAGTTCTGGGCCAGACCCTGGGGACCCAGGCTCGGGCAGGGGGAGACGGGGCTGTGAGGTGGAGTCCTGGGGGAGCGGCGAAAAGCAAGTCCCTGGAGTCGCACTCATTGTTGACTCTGATGCTATTCGCCCCTAGCAGGAAGGAGAAAAAAAGCTCCAGATTGGAGGAACGCGACTAGGAGCAGGAGCCCCTGCCGGACACCAGCCAGCCGGGCGCCAGCAAGGAGCTGGGCGACGGGGCCCCCAGGGGGTGGGGGGTGCCCCTGGGCCTTCAACCACTGAGCGCAGGCCACGGAGCCGAGGCCAGGGGCTGCTTCCTGGGCGGCGCCGACCCCTGCAATGGGCTGAAGCAGCACAGGAGCCCGCGGAGAACAAAGGGGTGCCACAGGCCAACCTGCTGAGCTTCCAGGACAAGGAGGAAGAAACCGAAGAAATTTTCAATGTGAAGAAATCAAGTGAGAGCAAAAGATAGTAAAAATACTTAAGAAAGAATACAAAGAAGATCTTGAAAAATCGAAGACTAAGTCAGAACTCAACTCAGCAGCCAACATTGCAACATAAATGCGTTCTAAAAAAAAAAAAAAAAAAAAAAAGGACAGAATGTTGGAACGGCGGCGGCCAGGCACAAGGCAGTGGCAGCCGGGCCGGAGCAGCAACAGCCAGGCCCCAGAGCAGCAGCAGCCAGAACCAGAGCAGCAACACCCAGGCCCGGAGAAGCTAGGCCCGGAGAAGCTAGGCCCAGAGCAGCCGGGTCAGGAGCAGCCAGACCCAGAACATCAGCAGCCAAGCCCGGAGCATCCAGGCCGAGAGCTGCCAGGCTCGGAGCGGCTGGGCCCGGGGCAGCCCAGCCCAAAGCAGCCGGGTCGGGTGCGGCCAGGCCTGGAGTAGCAGCTGCCAGGCTGGGAGCGGCCAGACCCGGAGCGGACAGGCCCGGAGCAGCAGCTGCCAGGCCTGGATCAGCCAGGCCCAGAGCGGCCGGGCCCAGAGAAGCCGGGCCCAGAGTAGCCGAGTCAGGTGCGGCCAGGTCCGGAGCAGCAGCAGCCATGCCCGGAGCAGCCAGGTCGGGAGCGGCAGTGGCCAGACCCGGAGCAACTGGTTGTGGAATGGACCAGAGCAACAGAGGCCAGACCCAGAGCAGCCAGGCCCAGAACAGCTCGCTCCTCTCCTGCCTCCGCCCCAAGGCTGCCTCTCAGACATGGCTGGAAACTTCTGGGGTAACTTGAGGGTCTGCTGAATCAAATGAGGAAGGCTTAGATCTGGATGTGAGTTAGTATAGCGCTGGGTTGTTGATCTGTGAGTGCCTTGTGTGGGGCCTGGATGAGGTTGGTTGATCTACTTGGAAATGTCTTTTGTGTGAAGTGTATCCTTGGGCATGTGGAGGTATTATTGATTTGAGAAAATGCTAAGTAACTGATTTACTATCTGAAAAATTTAAAGTTCTGAAAGTTTAAGGTCTCTTGCCAAAAAGAGGTTTTAAAGCTAACACCTTAATTTTAATGGAGAAAGGGAAAGACAAGCCCTTCCCACCCAGAACAGGTAATCCAATTCCAACCAGCAGCTAGGTTTAAACAATGTGTCCATTTACACTTGAATGGCTAAGCCTTTTGATAGCCTAAGGGCAAGTTTACATGTAAACAAGTTTGCTCTCAATTCCCAGGGCAGGAAAAAAAACAAGGATTAAAATTATTAGATTTTAAATTTATTCTTAGAAGTGTAAAAGTTTATTAATTAAAAACAACAACAACAACAACAAAAAGGAGATTGAAAATCCTGATGAACAAATAATAGCGGTTCATTGTAGTAGAGTTGGCGATATGGGAGGGGAGTGGACTGACTGTTGGGGGGAGGGGGGAGACACTGAACATAAACTGTGCACCTATGGATGAGGACAATGGGGGGTGGGGAGCTGGGGTGGGAACCTGGTGGAAGGGGGAAGAAATGAGGAACCTTTGTAATAATATGAACAATAAAGATTGATTAAAAAAAAAAAAAAAATATATATATATATATATATGTTTACCCTAATGTTAAAATACGGTCATTATATGTTTATTGCAGTTATATACAAATTTTATAAAAGCATACCCAAGAGAATGCAAATGAAAGAAATATGCATGCTTTAAGGTCATTGATATTTTTAAGCTTAGTATCTTATATTGTTTTTAATTTGTTAATTTTATTTAGTTAAAAATTTGGTTCCAAGTCATCCCTGACCTTTAGAATTATCAGTTTTAAAGTGCATATGTGTTATGTCAAAAATAATATTTAGGAAATCACACAGACTTACAAGTAAAGATGGTAGGCTGAAGCAGAATAATCAAATTTCCTGTCCCCAATAACTAATAAAAAGGAAAAATATACATACATATGTATGTAGGTGTGAATGTGTGTATTATTTATTTTTAGCCAAAAATCCAGCTGCCCTGGCCATGTGGCTCAGTTGGTTGGAGCGGCATTGTGTG